CGCCGTCGGCGGCACGTACCCCTCCGCGTCCTCCTCCGCCCGGCCCTCCTCGAACTTGCGGTACGCCTCGTCGAGCGCGCCCGTCCCCCAGTCGTGCTGCACAAACACCTGCTGCAGCTCCCGCACCAGCTGCACCGCCGCGGACACGCTCTTGCACGCAATCATGAACGAGTCGCCGACCGTCTTCACCTCGTAGCAGCGGTACTTCGCGATCAGCGCGCGGATCAGGCGGTGGTGCGTCGCCACGGCGTCGGGCATCAACTCCGAACACGCAGCCCACAGCGCCGTGCTGCTCTCGATGTCGGTGAACACGAGCGTCACGGGGTCCGTCGGCTCCTTCGGCGCATTCGCGTTGTCGCGCGAGTCGCGGCAGAAGTGCAGCAGCAGAGCCGCCACGCCCACAAGCAGCAGGCCGCCAACGACGCTGCCGAGACGACGCTGATCAGCTGCGGTCGCGTCAGTCCGCGCGCAGCGGGCTTCGCGTACTCCATCGTCGGGGTCACGGCGGGGTGCAGCACGGGCAAGCGACCACACAGAAATGCGCGTCGCCCCGTAGTTCTTGCCGCACCCAGCACCGCCGGACGCCACGGTGTCGGACTCCATGCGAGTCTATGGGTGGGCGGCCCGCTTCACGGCGGGCAGCGAAGACGCGTGGGCCACGCACGATGCGCAGGTTGGCGAGACAACAAATCGCCCCATCGTTTTACGTGAACCCCGCCCGGCAGCGCGGCTGGAAGGAGGCAGATTGGGCTGCGCATGGGCGCTGTGTTAGGAAGTATTCGCGCGCAGACGCGGGGGAAATACGCGCCACCCGCCGCCGCATCAAATGAATCAAGCGCGTCCGGGTCTCCGTCCGGAAAAGAGCAGCGCCCCGCAAGAGACGCAGGGACGACGGCTGGGTGGATCACCGAGAACCCCCGCGCATTTGGCAGACGGATCGCTCATCCGTAGATATCAACGGCGGAATTCGGCAGTTTGCGGCAGTGGCCCGCAGAGCGGTGAAGCGCACGGTGCCGCATGCGGTGGCCAAACGCCCACCGCTCCGGACGCCGAAAAGGACCGCATCGGAGAGGCGCGGGAACTTGCTGCTTCGCCACCTCGCACAGTAGCGACGAACGCGTCTCCGCAACGTCGCGGTTGCTCGCTGGAAGGGGCGGTGCTCCCGACCGGTGCCGGCGGAGGCGGCAACCTGCGGCCTCGCCCGGGCAGTCTACGCCCCGCGCCCCGCCAGTTCTCCGGTTGCGGCGGCGGATGGCCAACCCACCGCCACAAAGGAGCGCGCCGACACCTTGGCGCGAGTGTGCGCCGCCACGTCTGACTTCCCTTTGCGGAGCTCGACCCTGCATTGCGGGAGGTGCGTCTCCGGAGTGCGCCGGGGCCTGGCGCGCTTCACTGCGAGGCCCTGCGCCAACTGCCCCCCGCCGCCTGCAAGGAACTCGCGGCCGCATTCAACAGGAGCATCGGCGACAGTGGCGTTCCGGCTTCCTGGGAAGCGGGCATTGTGACTGCCCCGCCCCTCAAGCCTGGGAAGCTGGGCAAATGCTTCCCACCTCGCTTCGGCCCGTCGCCCTCACCAGCTGCCCGCGTAAGCTCGCGGAAAGAATTGCGGCGCGACGCATCCGCGGCACTGTTGAAGCCCAACTTCTTCCCTAGCAAGCTGGTTTTCGCCCTGGTCGCTCCACGCTGGGTCCGCTGACTCGCCTGATTGCTGGGACCATTTCACCGTGGCGAGCGGGGGAAGGTCGGTGCGGTGCTGGTGGGCCACGCTGGGGCCTTCGTCTTGGTTGATCGCGGCCGCATCCTTCACGCACTCCGCGCGCACACGGTGACGCCGTGCCTGAGCCGGTGAGAGGCGGACTTCCCTTCCCTGCCGCACGGCCAAAAGTCCCGTGCACAAAATACGCTCTCCGCACCGGTTCCTTTCACCCGTGGCGTTCCGCAGGGTTCCGTGCTCGGCCTGCTGCTGCCCACCGTTGCCGTGAACAGCTTCAGCGAGGAGCTGATGAGCATCCCCAACCTTGAACTTGCTTTCTTCACTGATGACCTGACCGCCATCACTTGCACCACCGAGAGAGCGAGAGGCGCTATGGAGTGCACGTTACGGAAGGAGTTGGGTCGCACCTCAAGATGGGCGGAGCGGAACAAACATGGAGCCCAGCGCCGCGAAGGCGAAGTGCGCGCTGTTTTGGCACCGTCCTCACGGGCAGCCTGCGGCCGCACGCGGGAGAGGCCCGCTTGGTGGAGGATCGCCTCCCGCGATCGTCGGGGCGGTTTTGACCCAGCCATTGCGCGGGGTGGCTGGCAGGCGCGGGGGTGCTTCGCCGTCACAAAAACAAGACTTATGGAGGTCGAGTCGGTGTCTGCGACAACATGGGGCCGAAATGTGAAATACCGCGTCCGCTGCCCAAGACCCTCACTGGGTCCCCCAACTCCTCTACGGGGCAGTGGCGCGCTGCAACACAGCTTCGCCGTCGGCGCTGGAGCGCCGGGAGAAGTTCCCCACCCGCGCCGCCGGCGTCATCGCTGGCGTTCCCGTCAGGGCCTCTCGGGCGGCTGCTGAAGAGGAGGCTCGCCTTCTCTCGCTGGAGGGCGCTGCGTCGATGCGGGGTGCCCAGTGCTATCTGCAGTCGTGCGTACGCGGCGGCGAGTTAGGGCGACACGCCGAGGCTCTTTTCCCGCCTTCCAACCCGACACACTCAGCCCTCCGCCTGGTGGCGGGTAAGTTGCACGAGGATAGGTGCTTTTGGCACGCCCCATTGCCGCGGAGCCCCTCGATGCCGCCAACGCGCGTCTACCTTGGCACGCCGCCGCCGGATGGATTGGGCGCCGGTGCCGATCCGGAGGAGAGACGCAAGGGATGCATGCTGCTGGCGGAGTCGAAGGCGCATGCCCTCCTCTACACACTCAATGCGCGGACGGCCCCGTAGAGCTCGGAGTGCGGTCTGGCCGCGCCGCCCGCTTAACTTAGCGCCAGACGCGCGTACGTGCAGCGTGAAGTGTGGCGGCGGCTCGCTGGCGTGCGGCAGCGGGGTGAGGTACCAGGACACGGAACGGGGCCCCGCTGAGCTCCTGCTGTGCGTTCTGAAAACGTCCGGCAGGCGAGTGGCGGGCGTATTTACTGCCTCACCGTCCCTTCTCCAGAGCTCACTTGAAACGGGCCCGACCCGAGTTACGGACGGGGTGCTCCGCCGCATTTGGAGCGTCATTGCCGGCCCGCTCCGTCGTGGCGCGTGCGCCTGCGGTTTAACTTTATTTTTTGGGGCGCGCCG